GAGTCTTATAGGTCTCCCTTTATATGTGAGGGCACGTTTACCCCTTGCTGCTTTCAGAATTTTCTCTTTATCCTTGTATTTTGCCAGTTTCACTATGATATGTCGTGCAGAAGATCGATTCAAGTTACGTCTGAAGGGAGTTCTCTGTGCCTCTTGGATTTCAATGCCTTTTTCCTTCCCCAGTTCAGGGAAGTTCTCAGCTATTATTTCTTCCAGTACCCCTTCAGCACCTTTCCCTCTCTCTTCCTCCTCTGGGATACCAATTATGCGTATATTATTTCTTTTTAGTGTATCACTTAGTTCTCTAATTTTCCCCTCATACTCCTGGATTTTTTTATCTCTCTTTTTCTCAACTTCCTCTTTTTCCATAACTTTATCTTCTAGTTCACCTATTCTCTCCTCTGCCTCTTCAATCCGAGCCGTGGTGGTTTCCATTTTGTTATGCATTTCGTTTAAAGCGTTTTTCAGCTCCTCGTGACTGTTCCTTAGTCCCTTGATGTCTGTAGCAAGAGATTCTCTGCTGTCAGCTATACTGTTTTCAAGCCCAGCGATTAATTTTATGACTATTATTCTAAATTCACTTTCTGTTATATTATTTAAATCCTTTTTGATCAGCTCATTAGCTGTTGTTATTTCCTGGAGATTCTTCTGAGGGGAATTCTTCCGCTTGGTCATTTTGGATAGTCCCTGGCGTGGTGAGGACCTGCAGGGCACTTCCCCTGTGCTGTGGTGTATAACTGGAGTTGGTGGGCGGAGCCGCAGTCAGACCTGATGTCTGCCCCCAGCCCACCGCTGGGGCCACAGTCAGACTGGTGCGTGCCTTCTCTTCCCCTCTCCTAGGGGCGGGATTCACTGTGGGGTGGGGTGGCCTGTCTGGGCTACTTGCACACTGCCAGGCTTGTGATGCTGGGGATCTGGCGTCTTAGCTGGGGTGGGTAGGCAAGGTGCACAGGGGCAGGAGGGGCAGGCTTAGCTTGCTTCTCCTTAGGTGATCCACTTCAGGAGGGGCCCTGTGGCAGCAGGAGGGAGTCAGATCCGCTGCCGGAGGTTTGGCTCCGCAGAAGCGCAGAGTTGGGTGTTTGTGCTGAGTGAGCAAGTTCCCTGGCAGGAACTGGGTCTCTTTGGGATTTTGGCTGGGGGATGGGCGGGGGAGATGGCGCTGGCGAGCGCCTTTGTTCCCCACCAAACTGAGCTCTGTCGTCAGGGGGCTCAGCAGCTCTCCTTCCCTTTGTCCTCCAGCCTTCCCGCTTTCTGAGCAGAGCTGTTAACTTATGACCTCCCAGCCGCTAAGTCGAGCTTGCTGTCGGAACACAGTCCGTCAGGCCCCTCCGCTTTTTGCAAGCCAGACTCGGGGGCTCTGCTTGGCTGGCGAGCCGCCCCTCCGCCCCGGCTCTCTCCCGCCGGTCCGTGGAGCACGCACCGCCTCGCCGCCCTTCCTACCCTCTTCCGTGGGCCTCTCGTCTGCGCTTGGCTCCGGCGACTCCGTTCTGCTAATCCTCTGGTGGTTTTCTGGGTTATTTAGGCAGGTGTAGGTGGAATCTAAGTGATCAGCAGGATGCGCGGTGAGCCCAGCATCCTCCTACGCCGCCATCTTCACATTTCAACTTTTTAATCAGCTCCATGAAAGACATCCTAAATGCTAAGTGAAACACAACAGATATTTTTTCTTCCCTTATTAAAGAAAAGGAAATTTGCAAGTTCTAAGAAACTTCTGTGTATCAGGGTGGTGACCTTGAATAAAAAACAAAACAAAACAAAACCCAAACCACCTCTAATCATGTTCTTGCAGCTGCATTTAGAAATTGCTTTCTAATCATGGTAAACATTGTATACAGGTTTTTTTTTTATTTTTTTTAACGTTTATTTATTTTTGAGACAGAGAGAGACAGAGCATGAACGGGGGAGGGTCAGAGAGAGGGAGACACAGAATCTGAAACAGGCTCCAGGCTCTGAGCAGTCAGCACAGAGCCCGACGCGGGGCTCGAACCCACGGACCGCGAGATCTTGACCTGAGCCGAAGTTGGCTGCCCAACCGACTGAGCCACCCAGGCGCCCCAAGTATACAGGTTTTTAAAATGTCCCTAAATGCACATCATTTGAAAAAAAATGTGACCAAACATTTTTTGCCATAGCCCGTAATCCTGAGAGCCCAAACTAAAAAACTGGCAAAAAGAAAAAATACCCAGACTCTACAAATGTCCCAGGACTTGTCTTTAAATGGGAGAAAAAACTTTAAAAGACATATGGAACTTTCTACAAGGTCTTTGTAACAAGCTACCTTGGGAGCTCAATTCAAAAATAGAAGTTGATATACTAAACAGATTTTTCAGTGCAGCTCCAAAAATCTTTATAAATACAGCCATTTGGAAGGATGATCCTGGATCAGAAGTTTTATTCCTTGTGTATCTACATTAGGTGCACAAACTTCATCTCAGTTGTCATCATTGTCTCTGTAATTTCCTCCTGAGTAGTGGTCATAACCGCCCTGGCTGCCACCATAGTCTCTGGACCTTCCATATCCATATCCATAGCCATACCCATATCTTCCAGGACGACTGTCGTATCTACCACTCCTATAGCCCTGGTCCCCACCACCTCTCCATTCATGGCTCTCATGGCATCTGAGGCATGCTCTGGGTTGGTGAAGGTGATGAAACCAAAACCCCGGGATCCCTGTGTCTCCCGGTCTTTGACAACAACCACTTCAGAAATAGGACCAAAGCTGCTGAAGTGGTCTTCCAGAGCCTGCTCATCGGTGTTGAAATTGAGCCCTCCCATGAAAAGCTTCCCTTCTTCAGAAGACATGGCGGTCAATTCGGGTACTGCAAGTTAAGCAAAAGGACTAGAAGAACAGCTACCGCTGTGGAGAAGAGAGACTGGGGGAACTACAGATTTAAAGATACTGTTTTTCACCAATCATATTAGTAAACATTGCTATGCTGCAAGGTGTGGGGAAATGGATATATACAGAGACAGCTATCATATGTCACACATGGGGTTATAAATTGTATTATATTCTGGAGGGCGACTTTATCAACTTATACTAACAATTTGGTCAGTGTATGTTAAAATTTTGTCAATTTAAAAGTTTACTTTGATTCAGAACCATTTTTATAACTTCATTTTGTCCTGAAACATCTTATCAGAGCAGACTAGAGCAACTTTGAGACTGCAGGCAACTGTTAAGTGGTCCAGTGCAAGATTCTAAGTAACATCTCTTATTAACCCTTACTTGGACATATTCTAGACAATTGTTGGCCAAAACCATGAAATAGAGCCTCTTGCTTATTTTAAGCTTATTAAAAAAGGTAACCAATTGGCACATTTTGGCTTGTCTGTTTTATATAAAGGGCCTATACAATGTTCTACATTGATGTTCTACAATAGCGATGAACAAACTTTTCCTGTAAAAGGCCAGACAGTAAATATTTTAGGCTTTGTGGAACACGGAGTTCCTGTCATCACCACTAAACTTTGTGGCAGTAGCAAGAAAGCAGCCATAGGTAATATATCAGCTAATGAGTGAGGTCGTGCTCTGGTAGAACCTTATTTATGGGCACTAAAAATTGAATTTCATAAAAACTTCACAGGTCATAATATTATCATTCTTCTTTTGATTGTTCCTCCCAAGCATTAAAAAATATAAAAGCCGGGGCACCTGGGTGGCTCAGTAGGTTGAGCGTCCGACTTCGGCTCAGGTCATGATCTCTCGGTCTGTGAGTTCGAGCCCCACGTCGGGCTCTGTGCTGACAGCTCAGAGCCTGGAGCCTGTTTCGGATTCTGTGTCTCCCTCTCTCTCTGCCCCTCCCCCGCTCGGGCTCTGTCTCTCTCTGTCAAAAATAAATAAACGTTAAAAAAATTTAAAAAATATATAAAAGCCATTCTTTGTTCAAAGACTATACAAAACAGGCAATGGGCTGGATTTGGTCTGCAGGCCTTAGTTTGCCAAACTCTGTGTTACGTTATCACTTGTTTCTTAGAAATTAGAAATTGCTGCAGCACTATTTTATGTTATCTAACATGCCGTAACTATATTAAGTAACTATATCTTAAAAACTAACCATTGTTTTCCAAACAAAAATTAAAAACCACTTCAATGCAAGCAAAGTCAGGTCCATTGTCAATATTTAAAAATTATTATTTTGTTAAAGGCTAGGGTTTTAATAATCCCTCCTTATGATCCATTCTTGTGCATTTCTCCCCCCTGCGGTTAGGCCCCAAATCTTTTGCATTGTCACTCCTATGGATACTTCAGAGGTCAGCATCAGACCGAGACAGCCGATGGTGGTCACCTGGGGTAGCCCATCCATATGGTCTGATGCATTTCCTGGATCTGGCAGCCAAATAGCTGGCTTGTTAGCATCAGGATAGTAGTTATGATCTCATGTTCCAACATGGGCCCATCCCCAAGGTATCCATAGTCAGAATCATCCTGAAAGTAGCCAGTTATGTCCAGCACCAGTAGCCTCATTTAAAGCCACTGGCTAAGTTCTGAAGAGAGAGAGAGCTAGTCAGTTGAACTGAAAGGTGGTGTATCCTTATCCATTGGGAAAAAACTAGCTTCTTGCCACTATATCCGTATGTAAGAGTGAAGGAAGAGTCAAAAGAGTGATAGCTCCCTTAGTTTCAATAGTCTGTGCAGCTTCCTTGTCCTGAGCAAATGCAGGGTTTGCCTTGCCCAACCAAATTAATGTTACGTTTTTGGTTGTTATGATAGGTTCCAGGTTAGGTTTGCTGTAAAAATCTTTGCGACAGGCGTCTTTGCAGTAACTAATTGGCTATAAGGCAGTTTTCCCGTAGAAGATATAAGAATGAAAAATAAGAGAGACACGTTAAAGAGGACACAATGAAACATGAAAAAAAGTTAAAAATCTTAATTATTAACTTCTTTCATTAAGAGAGGTATCAATTTTTCAAATACCGGCACACATATTTGTAACTGAGCTCTGTATTGTGTGTCAAAGCCTTCCATACTTGTTCCTTTTTGGCTTATTGTTACTTGTCTGTTGTTAGACATTCCAAAGTTCTATGGGAAAGTGTTAAATGTTGTAATTCATTTGTAACTGAACTTGTTACCACTGCAGCTGGTAGGTTACTTTCTAGATAGTATGTGATCTGGTTTGTACTCTCTTATTCCACACTTCCAGTGTGTCTTATCAGCATATTTTCTACCAAGTCCATATATATGTAGTTGTTATCACTATTTTAAGACTATCACATCTACTTGTCATGGTATAGACAATTATGAAGGCTGGCTACGGTTTATATAATATAAAAATTGGAACTCTGTCAATGGGGAAATGAAACCAAACTGTGAACCACTTATCTTTTATGGCAAAATTACCTTATGGTCAATTAGTTTTGCAGTGAAAATGTTTGTGGCAAAAACGCTTACAGCAAAGATAGTAGTTATGGTTATGGATGGTAATGGTGAAAATACCAGACACAGTTGGAAGAGACTTCTAGATTTTTTTTTCGTATGGCAACCAACAATGCAAGCAGATGATTCTGGTTATTGTGGACCCCAGGCTCTAATACATATACCAAGGATCTACATTTCCAAGGAACTCTGCAAACCACAGCCAGGATACCAAAGAAGCTATCTCTCTTTTATTAATAAGCTAGTATGAAGACAGGTGGAATGTAAGCTGTAGGATTCTACCTGAGGAATTCCAAGTCACAGTCTTCTTCAGAAGTATCTGAACTGAAACAAAACAAAAAAGAACTCTCTGAACTTTGAGCCACCTTTCAGATGGCACAACTAAACAGGAAGGAATGGAATATCTTCATGGGATGAGTGTTAACTTTCTGGGTTTGTATGTGTTCAATCTGTGCAGCTGGAATCCTTTCTAGCTTCACTTGCAAGAATTCAAAAACAATATGAGTGTATGCCAAGTAGATGTAGATGAGCCAAGAAGCTTTTGTGTATTCTTCTCTTCATGCTGGTGAGTGGGAGGACATCCTTGAGTCCAATCTGTAAGCTTTATCGTATGACCAGCTAACATCAAGAGGCAGAGATGGCCCAGAATGTTCTTTATGTTAATGGTGGACTTTCACTTATCCTTAAACTTCCACATCTACCATCTCATTGATCTTGGATAAAAGCTACTGTTGAGCTTGTATGAAAACTTGCCTTTTGTCCAAATCATGAGCCTTTATGTGGGTAGGATACCAGTCCACAATTTGTTCCCTTACTGGTTTGTGCTTGTTATACTTCCATGACTGGGACACAGCAGGAGCTGTGGAGGGCATGCATTTGGGAAAAATAGTTACAGGTAAGGAGCCCTTCCCATCCTGGCTACAAATGTCCACTTTTGAGTCATAATGTGAGACGAAATACCATTCCATTGAGTGTGCAGCTGATTGCTGATGCATCCTTTTGACACTTTAATTGGTGTTAATTAGTATTTTGACTAGTATTTACTTAGTATTTTGATAGTTTAATTAGTGTTACGATGGCATGTTTCATTACCTGTAAGAGTGCAGCCAAGCACTGGACATTGATTAGATGAGCTGCATCAGGCTGTGTGCATGAGGTCTGTATACTCTCATCTAGTGTCCCTAGAAGGTTAGCTGCTGTATTCACTTCACTTGGATCATTGCATGTTGTCCATGACTCAGCTACTTCTTGAGTGAAACACGGAGAAAACCCTTGTTTCCTCCTCTTCGGGACTTAGGTGGTGTCCACATCTATTCCCCCAGGATTACCTTTATCACTCAGAGAAGGAGCTGCGGTTGCAGTGCTGGAATGGATCCCAGAGCGGAGGTAAGTTTGTTGCTGCCAGCAGCATCATTCCTGATGACCTCCATGGCCGTGCCCAACTCAATCAAATCAGCTTTGAGTAGCCTTTGTCCACGGAGGGTTTTAAAAAAATCCGTGGTGTAGCCCCTCTCAGTTACGCTCAAGGGGACAGGCTCTGCCTATCATGGGAGTCTGAGTTGTCTTTCACCTGTTTTAGCTGGGCTTCTTAGACCTTTCTCCATGTCAACCGCCCCTTCCTCATCATTCCCAAAGCCAGTCTGAGAAAGGTTTAAAACCATATTAAACTTTTGAATGTGTATATCTGTTGCCCAGAAATATTACTTTTTAGAATTTATTGTAGCAAAATACTCGTCAATACATATCTATTCTATTCCATTGTTTATAATAATAAAAAAATTAGAAA